TGTGTGTGTGTGTGTGTGTGTGTGTGTGTGTGTGTGTGTGTGTGTGTATTTCGACATCACTTTAGCTTTCAAAACTGTTACTTGTTGGTAACTTGTTGGTAACAAGTAACAACACAACACATTGCAAGTTGTCTGGACTTGACCTAAATGTAAAGTAAAATGCTGGCTTCTTATGAAGTCCAAGCAAAGCAGGTAATTCTGCTGAACACAGCACAGCTGGTAATCTGCTCAAACTAAACTTCTTTGCTATTATATATGTCACCTTCCAGATGGAAAAGAAAATAATAAAAAAATATTACGCTTCAGAAGAAAACTGCATGAGAAAAATCACAATATGAGACATATAAGTTTCATAAGACGTGGATATGAAACAAACATTTACTTTTGAAAGAAATGGAAACATTTTTTCCTATTTTTTTTCACTGTGAGCTTTTCTGTGGAGGTCATTTAGTTTCTTTTTTACACGAACGGAAACATCTGATATTGGCTGACGGCTGAGGAAACATAAGCAAATAGGAACAAGAAGATAGGATTAAGTGGCCAATGCGCACAAATACACACACAAACATTTATAAACACATACAAGCGTGCGCACACACACACACAGAGACACCATCATGGTAAATTACTCTCTCAGCTCTATAGGGGTCTGCAATTTGAGGGTGTCAAAGTCAAGGTGTAATATTAGCCTGGCATTAATAATAGCCGTAGCACTGCCCCTGCTAGTGTTAATGAGTGCAACACATTAACACACATGTAGCTTTGGATCGCATGCCCACCCACACACCCACGCATACACGCTCACACTTCAATAATGAAATACAAACTAACAATGAAGATGTTTTGCATGAGTTGTCACAGTGCACTTACTTATGCACCACCAGACACATTAAATTCTCAAAATGAAGAAGCTTTAAGAGCACAATGTTTAAAACATGCAAATGCTCTTAGGGCATGGTGTTAGCTTATACTTTTGGATTAACATGTGTGCTAAGGGCTAGTGAAGGCGGAGGGTGGAGAAGGGGGAGAACAGAGATGAGAGCTAAAGCTTCAAGCAATACTAATGCCCAGCTGAGATGAGCAGTCTGACAACAAGGCTACAAGGCCTTGTGAATAAACGATGAGCGCTCAAAGCCACGGGGCAGAGGTAGTAGTTATTTTAGCATGATGGCCGTGCCGGCCTCTCTTAACTGCTTAGCACGCAGATGAAAAAAAGCATATACACACACGCATGCACACAAAGACACAAAGATACCGTGCTGACATTTTACTGTACTCTGTTCCTCTATACTGTTTGGTGAGGACAGCACTGGACGTTTGCCAGAGACCGACTCATCCAGGCCCACCTGGTGTGTGTGTGTGTGTGTGTGTGTGTGTGTGTGTGTGTGTGTGTGTGTGTGCCTATATGCACAAACTTATAAACACTAAGTAGACAGAGCTGGGGGAGTCTGCCAAGCAGAGGAAGCCTTATGTCAATCAAGTGTCAGGGCAAGCTGGAGAGAAGGATATCAGGCCATGGGTGAGACACTATAAATAACCTAGCCCACCTTGGGAGTCAGGGTCAAATACACACACACACACACACACACACACACACACACACACACACACACACACACACACA